ATGGGAAGCTACAACAGACAAAATTAAATAGTTCCAGCACATTTCCATGCCCCGGAATAGTTAATGACATTTCTGCAAGATTCTCATCAGTACATCGATCCATTTCTCTATTCCTGTTATTCAAAACCACCAGAGGTATATCATCCTCTCCTAAAGTAAAAATATTCCTTTTCTGTGGCTTAATAAAACTGATTCATTCTTCAACTTTCTATTCTTTCTGCACACCCTTCATTTCATAGTTTTTCTTCATCTTTAGGTAAAACACTACTTCTTCCAAAGCTAACAGATCCCCAAATCTGATTTTGTTTATCCTGGAAAGAATGAGCTAGAAAGTTGGAGTCCTGGATTGGGTTGTTTACATCTCCTTCCTCTCAGCTCCTTATCTTTTCCCTTATTTTATGCTAACCAGTCATCTCTCTGTCCTGTATGCTCGGGATCTACAGCTCATTTTCTATGCTATAACCCCTGATCCACATTTCCTTTCTTTTCCTGCAGAATGTCTGATGATTCCCTTCTACTCTCCTCCTAAATCAAGATACATACCCTGGCACGTAGCTAGTTCCTTTAGCATGTTGCCCCCCCACCACTCAGGATATCTGAACTAGGCTCAAGGAACAGAGAAAAGCTATTAGCAAAACCTCAGATGGTAGCTATGGCCCAGAGCTAAACAGGTAAGAGGAAACCAATGAGTTTCAGCACAGGAAATACAACCCTGGAACTGGGATAAGGTGGCCGGCATGTCAGTTCAGGAAGGGTTCCCCCCCATATACTAATTATAGCAAGCTTCGTACAGTCGGGCCCATTCTTCACCAAAATCGACGTAGAATAAATCCAAAAGTGAGACTACACAAAGTGAAAGTTCATTTTACAATAACATGGTTCTATTTGGGGAGTTTCTGAGTCTATCTTCCCTATAAAATATGTCCTAATTAAAATTCTCATAAGGATGTACAAAATTTGTAATCACATGCAAAATAAATAGTAAAAAATATAATTCTGAAAAAGATATCAGAATCTTGGGGAAATTTATAGTGGTAGGAATGCAGATGTGAATGAAGAATACAGAGAGAGNGATCAAATTAGATCTATATCTCATCCACTATACACAAGAATAAACTGCAAATGGATTAGGTATCTAAATATAAAACATGAAAACATAAAAGTACAAAAAGAAAACATGGATGAATTACTTTTACCCCATGGTCTAGGGAATACCTAATCTCAATCTACTCAGGAGAAAACATCTAATATACCCAAATTGAAAGGCATTCTATAAAATTAATGACCAGGACTCATCAAAAGGCCAAAGATTATGAACAACAAAAAAAGAATAAGGAACTGTCATGGATTGGAGAGGACTAAGGAAACTTACATAAATGCAATGTAAGATCCTGTACTAGGCCGTGGATTAGAAAAAAAACCCTGGAATAGAAAAAAAAAATATTGGGGAAAACTGGTGAAATGTCAATATAGTCTGTAGTTGAGTTAATAATATGGTACTAAGGTCAATTTCCTGACTTCTGTAATTTTACTGTGGCTTGAAAGTTAACAGAGGAAGTTGGATCAACGTATATATAAGAACTGATGTTTTTTAACTAACTTTTCTGTAAGTTTAACATTTCAAAATAGAAAAAGATTTTTTAATTAGAAGAAAGTTAAATATCATACTCATTTTTGAGCAAGGAATATCTTTTCATTTATTTCAACATGTGTCACTCTACAGACTTTACTTCTGTTGCTTTCCTTCCTTCTCTTATAACAGCTTATTAAGATATAAGTTGTATACCATGAAAGTCATCTGTTTAAAGTGTGCAATTCATTGATTGTTGATAAATTTACCATGTTGTCTAATTATTACTGCAATCCAACCTTGGAACATTTTCATCCATTCAGAAAGATCTCTTATGCATATTTGTAGCCATTTCTTGTTCTTGCTTCCAGTTCCAGGCATACACTAATCATTTTTTATAGATTTGACCTTTTGGGGCATTTCATAAAAATAGAATCATATCATAAATGATATTTCCTGTCTTGCTTCTTTCACTTAGCATAATGTTTTTAAGGTCCATTCTTTTTATACAGTGTATCAACATTTTGTTTCTTCTTACTGCTGAATGATACTCCATGGGTGTTCTCATTTTGTTTATCCATTTACCAGTTGGTGAATAGCAAATCTGCTTATTTCCAGGCTTTGGCTATTGTGAGTAATTCTGCTGTGAACATTCACATGCAAGTGTTCTATAGAAGTTTTCATTTCTCTTGTATTGAGTCCTAGGAATGTAAATGCTGGGTAATATGGTAAGTATGTGTTTAACTTTTTAAGAAACTGTAAGATGTTATCCTAAGTGGGCTGTTCAATTTACATTCCCATTGGCAATGTGTGGGGGATTCGGTTTCTCAAGTTATACTTGTTACTTTTTGCCTTTGTTTTTTTAATCATACTCATTCTAGTCGGTATGAGTAGGGAAAATTTAAACCTAATTATTTGACATGTCAGGATTCATGTATACAACTGTTGTAAATAACATTTTCATATATTGGGATCTCTTGTGAAGTAGGACTTGTTCAAGCAGACATTATATAATTTTTGTCAGGAGCACCACAGGAGATATCATTGTATTGAAAAATTACTGATTATGAAGAAATTTAAGGTCTTACGATATGTGCCCCACTCTATCCTAAGGAAAACAATTGCTACATTAAATGAAGCACCAATGATGTTAGAAATGGAGAAACAGAAATCAAGTACCATGATCCGTATCTCTCAGCTAATAAGTGGTTGGTGATAAGTCTATAGGAATCCAAATAAACTTGGCTTTTTTGCTATTTCTACTGCCCTATCCCAAAAATGTTGGTGGGAAACTAGAAAAGGTGGGAGATTTTTTCCTGTGTTCCTCTTAGAGAGACATGACATATACACATCAATCGTTAAAAGAGACCAAGGTATTACATGCTTAAGTATTTATTAATAATTATCATAAATACAATTAAATGTTAAGAATTAATGTCAGTGTGAGAGGAAATATTTGCATGGGGCTCCTAGAGGAATTAAAGTTAGACCTTCACCATAGAGAATAGATTTAAGAAGGTAGAGATTAAAGGCATTCCACTCATGTTTGAAAATAAAATGCTGTGAAGAGATTCGGAAAAGTTTATGGCAAAATGAAGAAAAGATGAGGCAAACCGCACCTTGGATAGGAGGAGTTTTTATAGTTGATTTTGAGAGAGAAAGATTTTTTTGTGTGATAATGGAAACAATTTACACATAATTTTGAATATCAGAGAGAAA